GCCAGTCATATCTGATTACTAATCTAATATTTTGTATGACCACCCCCGAGCATCTATTACAGCTTGGCATCTAGCGTGCATAGAGTCAATGAGCTCTTCAAAAACTGCTCAGGCAGTGCATCCCAAGCAGCTCGTACAATCTCACGGAGTCGATCATAAGAAAGTTGCTCATCATCTGGATATTGTTCTTGAATCCAATCCTTCATCCAATTCCATACTGCTTCAATTGGATTGAGATCAGGTGAGAATGCTGGCCAATAAATTGGATATATCCCACGAGAATGAAGCTCTTCGAGAGTCTCCTTACTCGCATGGCCAGGTGCCCCATCCTGCATAAATTGAAGCCAGATATCGTCTCGTAATAAGCGAATATAGCCATCAATAATTGGTATAACCCGTTGACAATATCTCTCTGAGTTAATAGTTCCCCATTCCTTCTCCCAGAATAAACACGGACCCTTGTTATTCCCATGAAAAGTAGCCCAGAACATCCATCCACGTTTCCGTGCAGGAGAGGATCGTATGCAAGTCTCTTCTAACTCTTCACCAGCCTTTCTAGTTACCCAGATTCTCGTATGAAATCCTGAAGTAACCCATGTTTCATCAGACCAAAGGATACGATTCCATTGTTCAGTCGTCCAATTCAAATGCTCTAGGGCCCAGGCAAGACGTACTTGTTTATGTTTATCTGATAGAGGAGGTTTATTAAGAGCCTTGCATCGTGTATAACCTCGTTTTTTAAGAGCTCGAGCCAGGGCGTGCTTTCCAATAGATAGGTTAAGCTCTTGTATAACCTTATAATAAGGCATACGTCGCGTACGCTTCGAAGAAGTAATCCATTCGATAATATGATGAACTTCAGCCTCGGAGAGCTTCGGAGGGTTGCCACGGGCCTTTTTAGGGGTTGCTTGCTGGCTTTGGCACGTATATTGGACTTGGCGATAGCTAATTTGAAGTTGCTGAGAGATTTGAAGATATGTAAATCCAGCATCTCGAAGGGTTAATACTCGGATCCGTTCATCCCTATTCAGCCGTGCTGAATTCTGCCTGGAATCAGATGGCTCGAGAGCTGCTGCGCTTGTTGCCCTAGGGGGGCTGGTAGGCTCGGGGGTGGCCATATTGATCGTCAAATGTCATATATCTAGGCTTGAAAGGCTTGAAAGGCTGAAAGCAGACGGATGGTCAATATTCTATTTAAAAGGCGGTGAGCCCCGGAGCCTGACCGCCTAAAAATCGTACTAACAAAATTACCGGCCCCAACCGTAGTAGATATCACGACGCTTGGACCAATAAGAAAAAATACAATAAAATACAAGGATTACCCGGATTTACACATAAACAAGACATATGCAATTCATATGGACTCCATATGGAATCTCAACCACAATATTTGGTCAACATCATGAAACTTAGATAGATACATTGTATCGATATCTTTCAACATATGGATTCGGCGAGATTTCTGTAGCGATACTTTCCAATTATCATATAGATTTGACGATATTTACAAGTATATTCTCTCTATTAGTTGTGTTGTGTTGAGCAACAGGTCACGCGGAATATATTTTGTTTGTATTTTGATAGTATAGAGCACTTTTCCTCGCTGCAACTTATGTTCTACTCATGTCTTGCTTATCTCTTCTCCCTTTTCCTTCTGCTTTCATCCTCAACACTATATTTTTACACACTTGCTATCAAGAGATTTTTCCTTTTTTATATTGATTCCATCTGCAAATCATATCCTATCCATCAGGCGATCATGCTCTAAGGACCAGTCAAGGTTCAGTGGGTGCCAGGCCACGAAGGGGTCCCAGGCAACGAGAAAGCAGACCAGCTGGCAAAGCTGGCTGCAGTCGAGGCGACACGGCGTACACAGGAGAACGCCCGCATAGCCAGGATCAGCGCACCCAATCAGACTACACCACACGCCGCACGAATGTCGTATATTCCAAATCAGTCAACTATCCTTATGGCAGTGTGTCGCCAGAGGCTACATGCAGGCTTTGCAAAGAGGTGGAAGGAACAGTGGGAGCATGCCAACCATGGACGGCATCTCTATCGGATAATCAAAGCACCAACGAAGATGGTGTTGCAGCTGCACGAGGGATTACGACGGGCTTGGAGTTCAGTGTTAATCCAACTACAAACAGGTAAATCAGCGCTACGCAGCTTCCTAGCGAGTATACGGATTGAAGACTCACCTCAATGCGAATGTGGCCTTGGGGATCAGGATACGGCCCACGTCCTCATACGGTTTCCTACCCATATAAACCTGCGTATGGAGACTCTCTGGAAAGAAGCACGCGAAACAGATTATCGGAAGCTCCTTAGCGAACCTCAGTGGGTTCAGAACCTTGTCTGGCTACCCATGATAATGAGGAAAGTCCTTACAAGGTTATCCTCTCAAAGGCTCATGGTCGAGTGTAAGTTTCCTGATAGATTCCATATCGGATGTCGCTGACAATGTTATTAGGTGCCTGATCGCTATGAATAGTACCCAACAATGCGGCTTCATTTGCGAACCTTCCCAAAAGCAAGACTCAGCTAGCTTTGCTAGCAATCCTGATGTTAATAGCCTTTCAATTCCATACAGAACCCACGCTAATCATTGATAGTTCTGGCGTTATCTACGTGAGGAACACCCTGGCGTTATTCAAATGGCCGACAAGACTGCCCTGTCCAATACTGAGCATATCGCGGGAGAAAAGTGAGTATTTCCACCTAGTTTCTATATGTCCACCACATTCAATTGATCGCTGACTGTGATGGTAGTGCGCTTAAGCACTATGTGTTGACTGGTGGCTGGCGCAATGCTCATTTTATTAAGGAACCTGATCTTCCTAAGTCCAGTATAATCGACTATTACTGTGATTCCCTTGAGCGGATCGCGTAAGCATATGGAACCTATATACAACTTTTGATAAATGCTAATTGCTATTAGATTAAACAATAGGAACTTCGCTAAGAAATGGGGAACAAGTTTTCATCGTTCACACATGACTCCCAGCCTCTCTCAGCATCATGTAAGTTTAGACTCTATATAGTAGTGATATATTTTAACTAACTTTTTTGTGTGATAGTGTGTCCTGCATGACATGGATGCTCGACATCTGGACTTCAACATCGATCCAGAGGTCGGAAAGGATGGTTGTAAGCCATTAGATCAGGAGGTTGAGTGAAAGTGAAGATACTGGCGCGGAAGAACGAAGAGTTTGCAGAAAAAATAAAATACAATTATAGTACAAGAATTTGAAATAGAATGAAAGCAAAGCAATTTGATCATGTATCTGCTCAAGCAACTCTAAGCTTTAGTCGCTCAGATCATCTAGCTACACAATGAGAATCAGCTGCAACTACGTACGAATTCATGTAAAGACAGGAACCTACCCATAGAATAAATGTCTTTTGACCGAACTATCCTCACGGGTCGCCTGCAAGAAATAGCCCAGGATGGTGGCAAATCAGGCTCTGAATTCAGCGAGTCCACCAGAGCCAAGACTGAACGCGCCCTTTGCACAAGCTCCAAGGGTGCTAATGAATCGCGTATTGGTACATTCAGTAAGAGCGCTGGATCAGTAACCTAAAGAACTAAGGTCAGCAAGAAGTGCATACACTGAATCCCCATGGTAGATTAAAGTGATCAAGATGTAGCCTGAGTCAAATCCCTATGCTAATCTAGGAGAATTCATATTAATTTTATATGAGTTCCATATCACGTCATTGGATACTATAGGGTTCTCATATACAACCCTAACGTTCCTCTTGGATACCCATGTCAATTCCATAAGGCATTGATATAGACAACATATGCATATCATATGATTTACATAAGCCTTGACTGGTTTCTGTGCTTAACTTACTGCAAGATCTATCTCAATCTGAGGGTTTTCTGCGATGTCCTCTTGATACTGCTGTTGTTCGACCCTCCCCTCCTGCACCAGCCTTTCTTCCTGAAACCCAACACCCGCTACATCCTATTTAGTGGATATTGACTCTTCATTCCCCTGCACCGTACATGTTTCTAAGTCCTTGTCAGAAATATCCCCTGATTCTGTGGTCCAATCGTCGGTGGAGTCTCCAAGCTCTTGAGAAGGCTTCTGCCTGATAGTCTCCGAGGCTTTTCCTAAGGGCTTGTCTAAGGGCTTTTCCAAGCTCTTAGATGAGGGTTTCTGAGATGATTCTTTAGATGCCTCCTCAACAGGCTGTGCCTGAATAGGCCTCTTAGTCGCCCTCATCCCAGATGACTGTGAGGAACCATTAGAAGACTTATCTAAGGATTCCTCAGAGGAATTATCAGATATGTCTTCTGAAGATTCTGTTTCTAGTATTTCTTGTTCCTTGGAGCATTCTGCATGTTTTCTTAGCATATCCTTAGACTAGCAAGATCGTGCGGATAGGTTTTCAAGCTTCTCAGAATGTGGCCATTTAAGATATAGTCGAGCATGCCCAGCTGACTAACGATGAAATTGTGTGCCAAATTTTCTTGCGAAATCAGGATCACTCTCCCTAGTATACATTAGATTATTTGATGATGTCCATATGATAACCATTTACTTACGCTATCATTTCACAAGCAGTGGTAAATCGGTAAAGTATATTGTTGGCCTGCATACCTCGGGGCTCTACCACGAACCGGGCATTCTTTCAAGCCCCAGTAAGCACGTACTTCTTTAGCGCACTATAGAATATTAGTATCACTAGTTAATAAATAGCACTGAGATGCTAACTTCGTGCCCTGAACTGTTTCATCCATTGAGATAGATGCTCTTATTGTATTTGCAGCTACTATAATTAGCAAAGATTCAGATAATAAGGTCAGTGAGGCTACAGACTTGCGCCAGGATGATTATTGCGCATATGACGCCGTAGAGCAGGCTGTGCGTTGAAGGTATGCCCGCACATCTCTCCTTCATTAATATCAATCTGACAGATGAGCCCGTTAATAGAGGATAAACGGTTAGGTGTATGTGGTCCCGCTAGATAATAACCAACATAAGTAAAACATATGCATCCTATATGGGATATATTACATACACATATTTTCCTGATTAGAAACTGATGGCATAGCCAGACCATGTTCACATGCGGCCTTCTGGCGAGCTGGCATCCATCCATGATTTGGATTAGGAATAGGTCCTAGGTGGATGAGGTAACCTTCAACATATTTAATAGTATAGGTGTGCATACCGTAGTGATATCTATAGCTTGAAACCTGCTTGGCTTTAGCTACAGCTGGGTTATCAAAGTCAGCTCTGGAGAACTCCATCATAAAGATAGCTATTAAAAGTAGAAGACAAGCAAGACATAAGCGGAAGATATGTTAGTAGTTAAATAACTTATTTCGACTAATTTCTATAATTTATTATGATTCTACTTGGGTGGGGTCAGTGTGGGTGCATAAAGCACGTGTACACGTTAATGTACGTACGTACGATGGATGGTTAGCAGGTACTGCAATTCTGTATGGGTCCAAATGTGTGTGATTGTAGCTATCTAACTCACGCCCCGACGCGGTCTTACATCCCTCTATCCTAGACGAGGTCACGTGATGCCCTGCGGCTCAGTGCGTCGGAGTGAGGCATCTCGATTGCTCCCACCACATTGACAGGCACTGACCGTCACAAGCACCCCACAGATAGACGAATTCCCTACAATTGTTTATATCAAACAGTCAGAGGCCCAAACTCCTCACCCCTCTCTACCACCTAGCCACCAGAAGTGCGGCCTTTGACGCGTCTCAACGCGTCCGGCAACACTATGGCGCGTAAAGGCCCTGGTACAGATGGCCCTCTACAGACAGCCCTACTGGAATCCACGTCCGCAGCCACGACAAGAGCTTCTGAAGGACAGAAGATCTTCAGCCCTATAGCTGCATTCCTCGATAAACACCGCAGCCAAACCACCGGCCTGGCCCCTCACCTACTGAGAGCCCTCACCGCTCTAAGCGATGACCTCGCCTCAGTAGCCCAACGACATTTTAGCGCCTATATCAGCGGTATCTCGACGACCTCCATTCTACCTGCCCTGTCCCCTTCCCCTTACCCTTTCCCCTTCCCCTTCCCCTTCCCCTACTCCAAATTCCTTACCCCCTTCACCCCCTCCCTCACGTCCCCTCTCAGGTCTTGAACAGTCGACTTATGCGACTATTACCCAATATGCCCCGGTCAAATCAACTCCTACTACTCACTCCAAAGCCCATGTTAAAAAGCCTATGCCTCTGGTGAAACAACCCCTTCCTGACAACCGGCTCTTCGTACGCCTCCCAGCTGACCATGCAGCTAGAAAAATGGAAGCCTACGCTATCTACTCTAGCCTACGGTCTCAACTAAACTCAAACAGTTCAGCACTAAAAGAAGTTCAAGCCACAAAGACTGGTTTTGCACTATGTCCCTCATCCCCAGAAGCCCTCCTAACCCTTGAGGCCCAAAAAGAGATTATCTCTGCATTCTTTGTGAACTGCCAGATAGAACGCAGCTCCCGATGGGTCTCGTACCGAGTCACCAATGTGCCAAGGAAAGTTGGCCAAATCTTGGACGGTCAATACTCTCTAATCCCTGTCAATCCTACACTACTATCCTCAGAAATCAGTGAAACTACAAGACTCAAGCCTATATCTATCAGCGAGACCGCTACAAGTGCCGCCAACCCTGATACTCTTTCCTCAAGCTGGTTTGTCAACTTCCCAGAAGGCACGAAATTACCACTGCCTATCCAGCTACGCCTTTTTGGCACTATTACCAATGCTCGTCACCTCTCTAAGAGAACAACAGTTATCCAATGCACACGATGCTGGAAATGGCATAATGCACGATCCTGTGCCCGCCCCTCTCGATGCCGGCTCTGCGGCTCCTCAGAGCATACTGAACAGGGACATGTTAACCGCTGCACAGCCCTGGAGCCTCATCAGTGCCCTCCCAGATGCATACACTGCCATGGACCACATCCTGCTGATTTCCCAGAATGCCTCCTGCGCCCTAAAGGCAACTCTAAACATACTAAAGCTCAACAAGCAGAGATCCGGAAATCCTGTGCTATTAACCTCGCAAAAGCTCGAACTGAAGGAGGATGTAGCACTCAGCTCTCCATTGGCACACAAGAAACACCTATGGCACTAGACGAGATGCCAACTCAGCCTCCAACCCATGAGATTATCTCTCCTTTCCGTTCAGTAACCCCTCCACCTCGCGCCCCAACAGAAGATCCCCCAATTACAGCTCGCGCAGTCCGCTTTACTACCCCTCAATCACAAAATCGGTTCGCCTCTCTTCTCGAACGGGAACTATGATCTATCACTATCCAACTCAAAAGGCGCCTCTTAAAATCCTACAGTTAAATGTAGGGCACGCGCCAGATGCACATGAAATAGCTCTCACATTAGCATACACAAGCGACATTAATATTATCCTAATCCAAGAACCATATATATTCAAAGATCTTAGCCGACAGATCACAAAAAAACACCCATCATATGAATGCTTCTCCCCAACTGACAGTTGGGCGATAAGTGGCCGACCACGAGTTCTCACCTATGTTCGAAAGAAGAAGGGTATTCGGACCTCCCAGCTGCGCCCCTTCACAACTGACACCAAAGAGGCCTCGGATCTCCTATTCCTACAGATTTTTTCGCCCACAGGAAAGTCCGCTCTGATAGTTAACATCTATAATGCCCCAGCAGGCTCCATCAGAGCAGGCGAAGCCGCGAAAGCTCTTGCAACCCTGCCAGAGGCATATTTCCCTCAAGCAACGATACTCGCAGGCGATCTCAACCTACTACACAACAGGTGGCAGCCCTCGCTACATCGCAGCCCCACACCTTCTGCAGAGCCATTCATTAACTGGCTGGACCTCCATGGTCTAGTACTCATCTCTGACATAGACTGTCCACACATGAAAGGG